CTGTCTTTTTAAGCATTTTAGCACTTCAAGAATTTGGCAAATCGGAAATCCTACACAAAACTTGCTTCAAATTTAACGTCGCAAGAATTTATCAAATGCACTGTACAATGAGTAAATATCCAAACCCAAGTGGAATTTCTACCCAGCAGCCTAGCCACTGATGCTATACTTTGGAAGCGGCATCTGTGCGTACCAGCTAAGCTGAACTGTGACGATTTGATTAGTCTCATTTTAAGGTTGGGTCGAGTCACTCTATTAAAACCTCACTTTGGCTTAAAATAGTGGAGTCTGTTCTTGTCTCTATCGCATCACAGTGTCCAATGTTAGCGATCATGTTCTTTAAAGCCTGTTTAAGTTAAGCCAGTATGGAGGATGTAGCAGTGTATTTTTTAAATAGCACAACGGCTTTGATTAGTATCATACATCACGACCAATAGATTTCACAAGCTTTCATTCAACATAGCATTTAAGGCATTAATGACACTATTGGTCTGCTAGCTTGCAATTCCTCACTGTCACAGCCAGTACCTTTTACACTAATTAATTGTGGAGTGCAAAAGGTTCTTTACTGTTTTCAGTATTTCACAAGAGAATAAAGAAATGCACAAGGGCTGCAGGCCTTTTCAGCCTCAAATGTGACTGGGGGCATTTGGAGATTGTATCTAGAGAAAAGTAGTTTGCAAATCAAGCTGGAACAACCTGTAGCTCAGTGGTTAGAACACTCGCTTTCCAAGCGAAGAGACCCGAGTTCAATTCCAGGCAGAGGGCGAAACCTTGGGCAAGTTTCCTTACTCCACACAGAGCCTAATAATAATCCCTCCAAAACCAAAAACAATAATAAATTGGTCATTTTCAATCTACGACTGTTTGTGGGACATTGCTGTGCGCAATTGGCTGCCGCGTTCGCCCACAAATATACAGTCAATTCACTTTACAGTGTGTTCTGTGAAGCGCTTTGGGACGTCCTCCCGACGTGAAAAGCGCTATATCAAATGCAAGGATTATAATGACTCTCAGAGTGACTGTGTTTTTGTAGACAAACAAGGGAACGTACGAATATGCTGTTGGGCCAGAATGGCCTGTTTCTGTCTATGTAACATACAGAAGTTGAGATATACTGTGCCATTTCTGATGGTTTTGTTAAAACTTGCAAAGGGTTAATTTCTGGTATTTATGATTTATGCACCAGAAATACTATGTCGAACGATGTGATCATCATGACGTCACAGACTGCATAGTTCACTCCATTATTTCAATGACAGCTGAGAAACAGATATGGTAAATTTGTGGTAAATTTGTTTTCAGCTGTGCTGCAGTCTCTGTTTCAAGACCAGACTCAGAAGATCATTAGGAGTGGATAGAGCAAGCAATTGTAGATAACTGTGCAATTCTGCTCCACATGGCTTGAAGGCCTCAGTTGGCCTGCATTTGATACACATCACCGTTAATCTCCTCACTGCACAGATGACACGAGCATCGCACACAAGAAAATATAATTCCAACAGCACTTGGCACTCCATCCGCATTCGTTGATTAACAAGGTTGTACATTTCCTCTTGTGTATAAATCCTTTTTATAATTGAAACCAGTCCTTGTGATCTGAGGCACTTGAGCCGGCGGTGGGAACCAATCACTGGGTTAAAGGGAGGGGAAGATGAATTCTGTTGGTAGGTTGAGATCTCTTTCATACCTGGCCCCAGTGAGACTAATTCCTGCCCTTAAATCTGAAACATTTACACTTAAGGTCTTTAATAAGAAATTTAATGATGAAAAATCTACTTATTGTCAATGGTGTAGCTAGGAATGGAAATTTGGGTAGGCACCAACTTATGGACAATGACCAAATTTCCATTCCTAGTAATGCTACTTTATCACATCTCCTGCTCTGGCTGTCTTCCCATCGCTTGCTCTCCACGCTGCCTCAGCATGGAGATGGGATGAAAGGCAGAGTGGGAGGTACGAGGCATCGCGGAGAGCGACAGATGGGCCCCAGATGTTAATTGGGTGGGCTGTGGGTCACCTCATTCTGCAAATGAGAAACCCGAAATACGTCCCGCACAAGGCGTTTGCCTAGATGTTCAGCGACTCAGAAGCAAAACATTGAAACATGAATCAAATCAATCACATCCCTGCTTTAGGCAACACGGAGAGTCTATTATGCACCATGTGTAAACTGCGTGTAAATCATGTTTACGACCACTACATGCCATGTGTACACCGTATTTATAGACTATTATGGGTCAACGTGTTAAACAATGTGTACTAATTGAGTCCTGTAGCTCAGTGGTTAGAGCACTCGCTTTGCAAGCGAGAGACCTGAGTTCAATTCCCGGCAGAGGGCGAAACCTTGGGCAAGTTTCCTTACTCCACACAGAGCCTAATAATATTCCCTCCAAAACCAAAAACAATAATAAAATTGGTCATTTTCAATCTACGTCTGTTTGTGGGACATTGCTGTGCGCAATTGGCTGCCGCGTTCCCCCACAAATATACAGTCAATTCACTTTACAGTGTGTTCTATGAAGTGCTTTGGGACGTTTAAAGATGTGAAAAGCGCTATATCAAATGCAACAATTATTATTATTATTATTATTATAATTCAAGTGTGAACTATGAGCAAATGCACATTTACAGAGAAATTACTTGTGCCCTTAAATGAGGGAATTAAACAGTGAACAAGAATAAATATTTAATTATGGATTCATGGAGAAAGTGACATCACAGAGCTTCTCACTCCTGACTGAGGGTAAGGATTTGGGGCAATGAAGGCAATCCATAAATTACTCACAGATCCACAGACAGGAAGGAGTGAAAGAGGCCCAGATGCCCATCAAGTTCTTCCTTCTTAATTACTTCCATAGTTCAAGACCAATTAGCAATGAAAATCTCATGGGTGTTTATAGACAAACTCGAAGGACAAGAACATGAAGCCACAAGTATAGGCAGTGTGAGCATATCACTGCTCACACTGCCTATACTTGCAGCCCGTGGTCTCTCCCGCACCAAACTCCATGACCCCATTTCCCCCATTCTTGCCCAACTCCATTGGCTCCTTATCCTTCAGAGGATCCAGTTCAAGATCCTGGTCCTCACCTACAAAGCCACCTACATGGCCTCGCCCCGCCCTACCTCTGTGACCTCCTAACTCCCTACCAACCCGCCCGCTCCCTCCGCTCAGCCGGCTCCAGCCTGCTCCACGTCCCCCGACCCACCGGCCCCACCATTGGCCTTCAGCCACTCTGCCCCCAACCTCTGGAATTCCATCCCCTAATCACTCCGTCTCACCCCCTCCTTAGCCTCCTTCAAGTCCTGCCTCAAAACCCTCCTCTTCGACTTTGCCATCGGCCACCCCCCCCTCCCCTCCCTTCTCCCCCCTGACCCCAGCTCGGGTCTGAAATGGTGTCACTGTCCAGCACCTTGGGACGTCCTCCCCACGTGAAAGGCGCTATACAAATGTAATCTTGTTCATTGAAATAGTAAACATTCCAATATGGAACATGCCTGAATTTATCCTATCCATAAAGGTATTGAGATGGTAGTTAGTGAAAGATTACTCCTGCTGGTTAGTAAGTAAGTTACAAGCAGTCCTGTAGTGGTGAGACCCCAATCATATCTTTGAGAATGTTTGATATAAGGCACTTTATCAAATACAAGGATTATTTTTAATTTTTTATTATTACAGAATATTCTGTATGTTGTCGGTGAACGCGGCAGCTAATTTGCACACAGCAATATCCTACAAACAGCCATTTAATTTTAACTAAAGACAGAATTTAAGATGCAATATTTTCTTAAAATTTTAAATTTAAGCTTAAATTTTAAGGCCAACAAAGGGTCTCGCAGGAAAAGACTAGGAGGGATTTAGTGCTTTATGACTCAAGCTGAGCCCAGGGAAAGCAGACCTGGTTAGTGTTACTAAGGAGCACGGCAGGTGGTACATTTGCTCAATAAGGCTTTGCAGGGGCCTCCTGTTGTTATCCTTCACCAGAAATATTATACATTAGTAAGTGTAAGCCGGAGCTGTAACTGCAGGAAATCTCAACAACGCCAATTCTCCACTGGATCACTTATCATTTCTAAATACCTTGAACCTTTCATTTGGTGCATGCAATTAATTAGCTTGGCTTTGTACATTACTCCTACATCCTCCCTTTGGACCATTTACCGCACACACATCCTCTCCCTCTCTACCCCCTGCATCTCCAAAATAGGCTGGTGGTCTAACCCATACATCACTACATCTTTCTCCTGTGACAGAAAAGAACATTCGAGCAGTGATGTCTTTGGAATGACAGCAACTTCGAAAACATTTTCTGCGATTTCACATACTGTACTAACATTTTGATACAATACGTATAAACATTCAAATGTCTGAAAGCACCAGGAGATCTTTAGTATCCACCAGAACAGGAAGACGGGACCTCAGTTTTAAATTGCAACACATCCCCAACCCTGCATTGGAGTGTCATCTTAGACTATGTGAGTTCAAGTCCCGACATGGGGCTTGAACCTACAACCTTCTAATTTAGAGGCAAGCATGCTATCACTGTACCAGGCTGACAACTCCATTCTTTATGTAGGAGTCGAAGATAATAGAACATCGATATGCGGGGGTAGGAGGAGTAATTTAGTTTCATGTATTAAATATATTATAAATACATGATGCAAGGATTATTATTTTTATTAATATTAAATGAATGCAGCTGGAATTTTGACAGCCTAATGATTTAAGTGGTGATGACAAGTTAAGTGGGGACGAGTTGTCAGGAGTTTATGGTTTCATTTTCACCTCACACACGAGCAGGATCATCAATAGCCCAACAGTGCTGCACTTGAAGTTTGCTGAGTTAGAATAATGCCCTTTGATATAAGGCTCTATCACATTGTTGAAACGTCTCAAATATGTGCCTTTAATAATAATACTTGTGTTTGATACAGCCCTACATCACATCATCAAAACCTGGGTTGGAAAGTAGCTTTTAAAATAATAGAAATGCTTCCCTTTGCTTTTTCAGATCCCGAATGGGCATCTTGCAACCTCGGAGTTTTCATCTGTTTAAATTGTTCGGGAATTCATCGAAATATTCCTCAAGTCAGCAAAGTGAAATCCATTCACTTAGAGGACTGGGAAGATGCACAGGTTGAGGTAAGTCCATGTGGAAGGGTGGCCTAGATTTGGATTTAATCTTCACAGCAGAAGGGCTGTAGCCCAAACTGCCCTGAAGGTTCACTGGGTAAATGTGCCACTGAACCTCGCAGACCAGGAAAGACCCGTGTTGAGTTAAGAGATTTATTATCTCTCACTGACTTATCTCATAGAGCCAGCACCTGATCACCAGCCTGGCACCCTGGCTGTAATATAGTAGCAGGAGGTCAATGGATTATGGCTGGTTGGAGAGAGGATAATTATAGAGAGGCATTAATGATTCAGGTCATCTTTGGAACCTAGAAAAAAGGAACAACATTACTAATCGATCCAAAAACCTATTGGTTTTCTTTTCACAGTTTATGGCCTCACACGGGAACAATGAAGCTAAAGCAAAATACGAGTCTAAGTTGCCACCATTTTATTACAGACCTACCTTTATGGATTGCCAGTAAGTAAATCATTTCCTATAGAAATCCCTCATCAATATGTTTGACTGCAACTTAATACTTCAGCCATGGGGGGAATGCACGTACGTGTGTGTGTGTGTGTGTATTCTGTTAAGCAGAGCGATAGTTTTATGCATGTCAACGCCCAGCTGATTCTCCTGTTTGACTGCATGATATCGTAAAGCGCCTTCAGGGGTAAGGTGGGGGGGACGAGGGGAGTTAAAAAGCACAGGCCTCGATGGTTTTCTATAGTCCATTGGCAATGCTACAGAAATCATTCTCCACTACTGAGCAAAGTGATTTGTACAAAGATTAAAGTTCCTCAAGCACCAGCAGTGTTCTAGTACTGTCCTCTGGTACTTATCCAAGTGTTCATAACAGTAATAATCCTTCCATTTGGTATAGCGCCTTTCATATTAGGAGGATATCCTAAACACTTCACAGGATTTACTGTAAAGTGGATTGACTGTGCATTTGTGGGCGAATGAGGCGGCCAATTTGCACATAACAGCAATGACCCACAGAGGATTGTTGACCAGACCATGAGGAGAAACTCCCTTCTCTTTTTGAATAGCGCCATAGGATCTTTAGCATCTACCAGAAGAAGAAGATGGGTCCTCGATTTCAGTGTCTCATCCAAAGCACGGCAACTCCGACAATGCAACACATCCCCAGTCCTGGATTGGAGTATTCATTTAAAACTATAAAACTTAAAATCCTGATGTGGGGCTTGAACCCACAACCTTCTGACTTGGAGGCGAGCATGCTGCTACTGTGCCAGGCTGACACACTCCATTCTTTATGTAGGAGTCGAGGACAATGGAGCATCGATAAGGTGTGGGGGTAGAGGGAAAGAAGTAAAGAGTCCCTGGGATAGTGATCAGAAGTGGGAACCCAGTCAGACATCCCTGACCCAGGGATTCTGAGACCTGTTGCAGTTAACGGCCTCAGCTGAAATGAACTTATTGCGTACAACAAGTTTCAATACGTGGGTCCTTACAGCTCTGCATGGCTCAGTACACCAACACGTGCCCATATAGCAGTGCTTACAATCCCATGATAGACTCGAGAGCTGGCACCCCATTGAAGAGCCTGGCTTTGGTTATTCGGACTTGGTTAAACTTCTGAATTCTGCTTCTAAGAACTATTTTTAAACTTTAGATCCTCCTAAATCAGGTCTGGATGTTAAAAAAAATCAATTTCTGTAGAGCCGACAGCCACGGTTTTTTTCTCTATTGGCAGCTGACGGCTAAATAAAAAGTTATGCTTTGTAATGAAAAGCCAGCCAAGCATCCAGTGCATTCTGAAGCTCATGCCATTGCCTTGGCAGCTGTTCCCACATTGCATCATTGGATTCTGTGGTCGGAAGGCAGTCACAATGCAAAATAAAACTCAGAAAACATCAATCTTTTAAAACTTTGCGTCTGCATAGGCCCAGGCAAGAGGTGTCTACTCTGCCTAATTAACTCTGTTGCTGAACTGAGTCAAAGCTACCATGTTTGCAGTATTTGTTAATGAAATTTCTTATTCTGGTTGGGAATAATCTCTGCTCCGAAAGTTAGATTGTGTCAGAGTGAAGTTCCCGGAGGTCAGGGTAACTATAATAATAACCCTTATTATTTGGAATTGTTTCAAATTATTTCAAATTTGAAGTTGAGGTACAGATCAGCCATGATCTAATTGAATGGCGAAACAGGCTCGAGTGGGTGAATGGCCTCCTCCTGTTCCTATGGTCCTGATAAGGAATCCAGCACAGAAATGCCACTATTGTCTGACATTATATTCCTACAAGTGGGCAGGTCAGATTTCTTAATGGGTTTGATGCAAGTTAATACGGTACAATTGTGCCTCTTACTGCGAGACGCTGTATGCAAAGACCAAACACACTTCAATCGAGATTGGTTTATTTAGCCAAAATGTCATGCCCATGAAATTCTTCCTTCATTTAAGCATTTTATGACTAGAATAGTTCAGCTTGTAGGTCGGACTGAGACCCCTCGAATGCTATGCAATAATAAGTGCGCACCATCTGTATCCAATTAATGGGGATCTGGTTTTCACTGCACACTGAAGTACAGCTGCGAGTCCTGGTCGGGCGAGATCTAGAAGATGGAGCAGGCTTGCAATAACAGGTCATCCAGAACTGTCAAAGGATTGAGGAGCTGGAGCCGCTGATGAGCAACACATTATACGTGTGACACAAAGCAGGAGCACAGCCCATCAGTTCTATTAAACCATGGCAGATCTTTTAATCCTATTTCCCTGCTTTTCCTCCCTTACTTCTAAAGTATCATAAAAGTCCTTTATGTATACATCTGTTATAGTTGACTATATGTGGGATATAACTGTGCAACTTAGTTGCTGCATAAGGTCATGACAATTGACACGACAAGTGACGATAAGCATTTTAGATGTCCTCCTTACATGAAACGTACAATATCAGATGCAACAATTAATATTATTTATATGAACTTCCCAATCTATTCTGCATCTACGGCCATCTGCAAGTTTGTTTTCAGAACTATATAATACAAATTTACATTTAAACGGTTGCTTTCACGACAGAAGTCTCAAGTCTCAAAGTTCTTGACAATGCTGGTTGGGCACCCAAGCTGGGGATAGAAAACTGACTTCAAAGTTAAGACTGAATCTAAGGATCTGTGTCAAATTCTGGACACTCTAAAACACCACACAAAAAGGGTAAATTTTGTCCCAGATGGAACTTTTCCCCATCTTATGTCCTGATAACCTTCTTGTTTGTGGAAAAACAAAAAATGGGTATTTTTGGTTATTGTTCCTAATTTCAAACTCCCAATTGAATTCTTATATAATTTGTTATATAAGAATTTGTTTTTCTTGTTGATGATGAAATGCCTCAGTTGAAAAGATCACAGCTTGGGTGGGTAAGGTATTGCACGTTGTGCTTTGCTCAGCTTCCTGTGCTGAGCTTCAGCCTAGGCTGCTCAACGTGTAACTTTAATAATAATTTTCCATATGGGCTTGTGATGTAGGTCGACTCGGCATTACAACTTGTGTGTGGGAGGGAAGGGTGGTGGCCCTGGGTTTAGATGTTTCAACACCAGTTTCAAACTTTTTTTAAAAAATGCTTTTTTGTATAAAATTGTTCACTCACTTCATGACTGTTTGTGGGACACTGTTGTTCAAAATTAGCCAGCACATTCACCTACAAATACAGTTAACTACACTTTAAAATCATTCCTGTGAAGCACTTTGAGACACCTTAATCTCCGGTCGCTGGTCTGCCCTCCTCCACTATTCTCAAAATTCAGTTTATTCAAAACTCCGACACCTGCATTCTCACCCATACCAAACTTCGTACCCCGATTACTCCAGTCCTTGCCAAACTCCACTGGCTCCCTGTCACAGAGCGGATCAACTTCAAGATCCTACTCTAGTGTTTAAATCCCTCCATTCCTTGGCACCCCCCATTTCTCTAACCTCCACAGCAGTACCTGTTGCCTCTGCTCTACTGGCTCTGGCCTCCTCTGCATCCCCCGAATCCTCCGCTCCACCATCGGCGGCCGTGCCTTCAGCCACTACGCTCCGAAACTTTGGAACTCCCTTTGTCTTGCCCCCTCCTTCCCCATCTTCAGGCCGTGCCTGAAGATCTTCCTTTTCGACCACGCCTACGGTCACCATCCCCACCCCTGGCTCAGCCTTGGGCTCAACCATTGTTAAGTGCTCTGAGACGCCGCCAGGGGTGGAGGGCTCTATATAAATGCAAGTTGTTGTTGATAAGGAGCTATATTAAATGCAAGGATTATGATTTTATTCATATTCTGCATTCTGGTTTTCCTTCCATCTGACATTGCATCCTGACCTATACACTGTGGTCGGGCTTGCACAAGATGGGGCACCTGGCCAAAGCCAGACTGTGTCAATGAGTCAACAGCCCTGGTGATGAAGGTGAGAAAGTTGGAAGACATCAAATGAATACAAACACCCCAAGTCTATTTCAAAGCACCACTCTGTACATTCTCACAACTGTCCAGTCAGCTACCCTCACCTCATCAAAAGGAAACGGATTAAGACTGTGGGACTTATTGGCCGCTCAGAATGTGCCAGTTTGCTGGGGTCTGTAAATGCTATTTCTTGTCAGAGTCAAAAATCGGTTTCAAAAGTGCAAACTTTAGTGTACACCTTGTGACCAAGAGACGCTGACATTGAATCCTATGATCTTGTACAGATGTTTATTTATACAGTACCAAATGTCAAATCGACTGAGCTGTTTGACGGACAATAGGTTGTGTGTGATGCCTGAGGGGGGCTAAATGTATCGTGGCTCATGAGGTTTGCTTTGCTTCTGTAATTTACAGAATCCACCCTCACCACCAAACCCAGCTTAAACTCTTGGGCCCCACACATGTTCTTCAAATCCCTGAGCCATAAAACAAGAGCAGCTGCAGAAGCGTTGATTCCACTTAATACTCGGTCCCTTGATATGTCCACCTTTCCGCATAAGGTCGCTGATTTGCCCATCCTCCCCCTCCCAAAGAAGTACCCTCCTCCTCTTTCTGCTTCCCTTTCTCCCCAATGAATACATATGGTCCCAACTTCCCCACCCCTCCCTGGAGACACACCATCCCACACCCCCAGGAAACACTATCCAAACTTCAAGCAGCTCTATTTTGGGCAAAATGAATTGAGATAAATTGATCTACGAAACATTTCACCTTTTGAGCTTAACCATCAGCACATTTAGCAAAGGGCATCAATACAAAAATGAGACCGCATTGCAGCTGTATGACTCTCATTGATACAGTTGTAGTCTACCCAACCCTGTATCTGCACATTGGCAGCACCACACAACAGAGCATCGGTACACTGGCATGCTATGTATCATCACCACAGATTAATAAACCCAGATGCTGCTCTTTGCTCACATTTGACACTGCTGCCACAGCACTCCTCCAAAACCGCAAGCAGCCTATCAACATGGGTAGCTGTTCAAACACTGGAATTGGTCCATGTCCTCGACATTGGACTCACACTCCTGACCATTACTCGGTACTTTCCGTGATCTCTGGTGGAAAAGGACACAGGCATGGTGGAATCTGGTCGACCATCAATGTTTGGGCTCATGCAGGAAGAACAGCCAGAGGTGGTGTACCAGATCCCAGAACCATGGAAATTTACAGTACAAGAAAGAGCATTCAGCCCATCGTAGAAAGCTCTCCATTTAGTCTCATTCTCCTACCTTTCTCCACCCCGCCCCCTCCAAACCCAGTCCCTTTTGATATTTCTTCTCGATATTTATCTAATTCCTTCTTAAAAGCTAATATAGATTCTCCCTCTACTACCATTCTACGTGAGACATTCCATGTTTTTAAAAACATTCTACAAACCTCTCTCTTTGCTATGTTGGTAATTACCTTAAATCTGTTGCTTTTACTTATTGACTGACCGATTGGTGGAAATTATTTATCCCAGTTTATGTTACCGAAACCCACTCTTTTAGAAAGCTCCATCCGGTCTCCTCTCAACCTGCTCTGTGTAAAATAGGCTTGGATCCTACAATAATAACTAAACACCTCAAACCGCTGCTTGAATTGAAGGCTTTGTGAGTGGAGGTTAATAGAAGTAGATTCACAGGAACGCTAATCCTTGTATTTAATATTAGTTTAGAATACTTGAATGTCTCGGTGGCTTCACACAGAATTGCTGTCAAATTGTGAATTTGCAGACTAATGTTCATGCCAATTTGCACAGTGACATGCAACAAATGGCCATGGAGTGAACACCCTATTTATTTGGAGGAATGCTGGCAAACGGGTCCTCAGTTTAACGTCTCATCTACCAATGCGGTGCTTATCCAGTGCTGCACTGAGTATCAGCCTGGACTGGGAGCAACCCCGATCAAGTGGGGCAGGGGGGTGTTGAATGCACAACCTACTGACCCAGAGGCAAATTGATGGTGATAAACAGGTTGTGTAAAAGGTGACCCAGCTTGTGAGAAAGATCCAACCCCAGTTTCAATCCGTCGGTTGAGGCGATAAACCAAGATCCAGTCTGCATATTCAGGTGGACGTTACACAGCGCTATTTAAAGGGAGAAGAGAGTTTCTCTTGGCCAACAATTCCCCCAAATAAAATCGGTCATTCGCTTCATGGCAGTTTTTGGGACATTGCTGTGTGCAAATCAGCTGCCAACGAATGTGTGGGCGAATGTGGCAGCTAATTTGCACCCAGCAACAATAATAATAATCCTTGCATTTGATATAGTGCCTTATTACATCTTCGAGATGTCTCAAAGCACTCCACAGTATACACTGTAAAGTGTAGTGACTGTATATTTTGTGGACGAATGTCCCACAAACAGTCCCAGAATACAGTCACCTCATTTTACAGTATATCTTGGGAGGCACTTTGACGTGAAAGACGCTATACCAATTGTAAGGAAATTTTATTAGTTGAGACATTTTGGAACATTGCCAAGCTCCAGATTTCCATAGCAACTAGTGCATAACACAACCAGAAATCCCAGTATCCAAACCCCAACTACAGCCGTAGCTCCCGGAGTGTCTGATGCTGAATTCACAGCTCGTTGGCCTGCAGCTGTTCTTCAGGGACAAAAAGTACAGCATAAAGTGTAGAGTTGCTTTCCTGTTGCTTGCACAGTGAGGAATTCAGATGCTCCATTTAATGCATATCTTTCATCATCATTAGCCGATTCCCTGTATAAAGGACTGTATGTTTTCTGTCAACAAATCTGGTTGTGAAGTTTACGGCCTCGATTTGCAACACTAACGCCTTGTGTCAGACAACATTTAGAAGATTTTACAGAATAAATCGCTCGTACCGCACTGCGAGAATGACGGCCAATGGCCTTCAGGAAATGTGGATAAACAATAGGGATTGGCAAATGAATCTCTCCGTTGCCTTTGTGTTATCTGTGGGTAATTAGAAATGGGAAGTGACCACCATTGGCTGTTGAGCCTTCAGCCTTTCTTCCCCCTACCCCATGGAACACCCTCCCGAAGTCTTTTCGCTTCGTCCTTGGCCCATCACAAGATATTCAAGGCCCATCTCAAGACGTTCCTTTTTGATCGTGCTCCCACGCCCCTAGTCCTCGACCCCTCTTGATTCCAACCAGTAGCTCGGGTGCAAACCATTGATTATTCAGCACTTTGAGATGGCCTCTTGACATGAAAGGCATGATATAAATGCAGATTTGTTGTTATTCGAAAGCATAGCCTTTGTAACAATGAATAACACCGACTTGAAGTGAGCCATTGTGTGCTGTGTTTTCTGGATACCTTTCCAATATCAACCCTATTTCCATGTTACCAAAATCATACTATCACTCTCTGATGGCTGAAGGGAAGTTTATTATGAGACAAAATTAATACTGTTTGTTGTGTCACCTGGCCTCCCCCTCCTGACACACAGCGTCTAATAAGGATTCCTGAATAACTGAGTCCTGTAGCGTAGAGCGCTCATGGTGCAAGCAAGGATCCGGGTTCGATTCCCAGGCAGGACAAAACCTTAGGCAAGTTTCCTTACTCCACATGCCTCCGTTTATCTAGCAGTAAGTAGGAATCTGGCTGTTAGTCAATTGGCAGATCGCTTTCCGGGGGTAATAATCCCTCAAAAAGAAAATGGTTGTTGGAATGCTTCCCTGCTTGGAATGCACGCCAAGAAATCACCAAATATAGGACCTCATTATCCAGTGGGGAAAATTGTGCAATTGTGTAATTATTTCATTTTTTAGGAAGAGATGAACCAATTTTAACCATTACTCCAAATGGAGTCTGGTCTCTCAGTTCCTGATCTGTTGCTTTTCAGAGTGCTCCGAGAGCAGTGGATTCGAGCCAAATACGAAAGGAAGGAATTTATGTACGTTGCAAAACAAGAGCCTTACTCTGCAGGTAGGGGACTGCTTACATACACTGAACAGAGCACACTGTCTACTCCACACAGGCATACATCACTGCTGGATGAGAGAGAGAGGGGGGGAAGAGAGCACAAGCACACAATGAAGCATGGAGCCAACTCTCTCCACAATCAATGCCAACCGCCCCCTGTATGCTTATGGAGCTCCAACACAGTACACATTCGGTGGAACTCTGGAGAGCAAGAGTTAAAAAGGAACCATAAAAACTTTGGAGGGGGAGGAAATGTGATTCAGTTCAGGGTTGACTGTTCAAACTGGATAATCTGATTTAAAAGCACAGCTAGAATTATCCTCCCACCCCTCACCCATACCACAGCAGTTGATGACAATAATTCAATACAATGATAATTTAGTGCATCCACCGCATATAATTCCTCAACTCAGTCTGCACCTGCTCCTAATAATCCCCAATCCTATGGCTGTTGATATAAACTCAAATTCGGTTTGCTGTCATATTCCCAGTGTGTTGCAATGTACTTGTCATATCGAGATTTCTTGTGTGTATCTGGATTGGATCAGGTCAGTTAGATTTGTGGAGAAATAATTTGCATTACAGAATTTTAGCAGCTCAGGCTGCATTGTAGGAATTGCAGCCAGTAGGCAATTTAGAACATCTGTCTGCTCAGGGTTTCCTGTTCAATGCAAGAGCTCTCTTTGTATCCAAGCTCCCCACCTGTTCACCATTTGGCAACTTGAGGGAAATCTCTCTGGAACCACATTTAAACATGGCCAGAAGGCTGAAGGGTTTCCTTTCTCAGTTTAAATCTGTCTGTGTTTCAGGGCAGTGTATCTGTATGCGTGTGGGGAGGGGGGGCACAAAATGGAAGTGAGAGAGAGAGAAAGGCTCTCCAATGTCACACTAGTTTGCCGGGGCAGATTTTTCTGCGAGTGTTAACAGCAATTCAATTTGTAATAATAATCCTTGAATTTGATATAGTGCCTTATCACATCATTGAGACGACTCAAAGCGCTTCTCAGAATATGCTGTAAAGTTTATTGTGTATTTTGTGGGCAAAATGCAGCAGCCAATTGTGCACAGCAGTGTCCTGCAAACAGTTGTAGATTCAGTGATTTTTTTTGAGGGATTATTACCCCCCAGAAAGTGATCCGCCAATCTACTAACAACCTGATTCCTACTTGCTGCTAGGTAATCAGAGGTGTATGTAATAAGGAAACTTGCCTAAGGTTTTGCCCCACCCGGGAATCGAACACGGGATCTCTCGCTTACGAGGCAAAGGATTTGCAATGTGAAGCCATAGCAATTCGTAATATACCGACCGAAGCCTAAACAAAACGAGTATGACCTGCCATGAACTCATCTCACCACAGCCTGCCTCTCCGCGCTCCTTTGGAAGCTTTCAGTTTCCTTTAATATTTTTTTTAAAACTAAGTGTTGTCACTTGTGTACACTTGCGGAAGGTCAGACATAACTCGCTTAACATGCAACATCGAACAGAAGACAAAGATCAGGCTTCCTTCCCATTTCTCTAAAGCTCAGAGTAAAGTGGTCGTCAAGGAAGACGTGGCTCACAGTCATGTAAACGCCTCATGAGTTGCACATTAGCTGACATCTTACCCCCTCTGCTAACACAATAAAATAAACAAATTAAATTAGATTTTCCTCACAGAGAGAAACACACACAGTACAAGCTTTACTCCTCTGCCATTTTGCAGCTTAGAAGAATATGAACATAAGAAACGATGTACAGTCCGAGTGCTTGTCACAGAGCCAGACGGTTAACTGTGTGCAGAATGAATCCACTTAGCTTGGTGATGTTCACGATGTGTTAGCACATCTGGAAGGTGAATACTGCATTGAGCTGCAGGTTTACGAAAAGGACCAACTGAACCCTGCCTCAAGCACACTGACAAGCAGAGACCTGCCCTAAATACTCTCTGTGGGTTATTACGGTCATAATAAGGCATTATGAAATGCAAGGATTATTATTATTTATTGTAGTCAGTGCAGTAGTGCCTCTGTGTAATTACACATCCACCATTGGGAGTTCCTGGCTATATGATCCTCTACTTTGTCAAATGGGGAGGATTTCAGCAGCTTGTATTGCACTTGTGAACAGGGTGAATCTAGATAACAACAACAACAAGATTCCATTTATAGAGCGCCTTTCACGTCGGGAGGACGTCCCAAGGCGCTGTACAGTTGGGTCAGGACCCGAGCAGGGGGGAAATGGTCAAGGGGAGGGAAGGGAGGGAGCGAGCGAGGAGGGGGGAAATGGTCAGGGTGAGGGGAGGGAAGGGAGGGAGCGAGGAGGGGTGAAATGGTCAGGGTGAGGGGAGGGAAGGGAGGGAGCGAGGAGGGGGTAGAGAGTCGAGAGGGGAGCTGAAGACACGGTCAAAGAGAAAGGTCTTGAGATCGGCCTTGAAGGAGGAAAAGGAGGAAGCACTGGCGGATGGAGTTCCAGATCCTCGGGGCTGAAGGCCTGGCCACTGATGGTAGGGCGGTTGGGGCAGGGGGTGTGGAGCAGACCGGAGCCAGAGGAACGGAGGGTACGGGCAGGTAAGTAGGGGGATAGTAGGTCAGAGAGGTAGGAGGGAGCGAGGCCGTGAATGGCCTTGTAGGTGAGGATGAGGATCTTGAATTCGATCCTCTGGGGGATGGGGAGCCAGTGGAGGCGAGCGAGGGTGAGGGTGGGAGTGATGTGGGCGCGGTGTCTGGTGCGGGACAGTACACGAGCTGCAGAGTTCTGAATGACCTGCAGTGTGGAGGGAGGGCCGGGAAGGCCGGCGAGGAGAGAGTTCCCGTAGTTCAGCCTTGAGGTGATAAAGGCGTGGACCAGAGTTTCAGATAAGTCCGGCCATCAAGTTGGGGTATATGTTTGTAAGTTTTGTTGGAGGGCAAGAAAAATACACAGAATTCTTTAGATTCCAGAAATCTGGGCGTGAGGTTACAAAAACATATGAAGAAAAGGCAAATGGGGTTCTGCAATTTAATAATCGTGGGGACTGAAAGTTAGAATTGTACAAGACATTGGTCAGGATTGCACGTCAGGAATATTGTGGTCAGTTTGGAGTCCCTTATCACAAGGAGGCTAGCATTTCAATGGGTTTTATTTATACACAGCCTCTCATAAAATCAAAACATCCCGCAGCGCTGTCTGAAATACAAATATCAGCGATGGAGAGTGTGGTGAGTTATATAATAATAATCCTTGCATTTGATATAGCGCTTTTTCATGTCTTCTCGACGTCTCAAAGCGCTTCACAGAATATAATGTAAAGTGAATTGACCGTATATTTGTGGGCGAAATGCAGCAGCCAATTGCGCACAGCAGCGTCCCACAAACAGTCATGGATTGAAAATGACCAATTTATTATTGTTTTTTTGAGGGATTATTTCACTCTCGTGAAAGGGGGATAATATGGGTGGGAGGGGGTAGAAAATACACATGTGGGGAGAGACTGGCTAAACTGGGGCTATTTCCACAAGAGCAGACAGTTCAGCAGACTCCCCCCACTTCCCTCCATACTGCACTGCGTACCCATCACGCCCCATCTTCACCAGGTTTCTCTGGTCTTCTAGACGATTGACATCAAGAGAATTTCTCATTCCGTCTTTCAAAGGATTCCATGCTCTTACGGATACAGAAATGTTCCTCCCTTCCACCCCAAGGAGCCATGAAGTGAATGAGAAATTGTATTTGGGGGAATTGTTGGCCAGGAGACCAGGAGAAACGCTTTTTAAATAGTGCCACAGGATGTTTAACCTGAACAGGCAGACAAGACCTAGGTTTCAACAATAACAATTTGCATTTATATAGTATGCCTCACATAGGATAGTGACCCAGAGCACTTAAACGACTTATGGTAACACCTCTGACAATGCAGCCCTCCCCAACCACATTCTGTGTTCTGTGAAGCGCTTTGGGACGTCCTCCCGACGTGAAAAGCGCTATATCAAATGCAAGGATTATTATTATTATTCGAGTGTCAGCCTAAATTAAAGGCCCAAATTAAAGCACATACCACAATTAAAATTGGCTATTCACCGCTTGGCTGATTGTGGGACATTGCTGTGTGCAAACTAGTTGTTGGGTTTGCCTGCAAATACACAGTCATTACATTTTAAGCATTTCCTGGTGAAGTGTTTTGCGGCTAATGTGAAAGGAAGCTAATATTAGATACTCTCTGAAATCAATGCTGTTTATAACGCCATAGTATCAAAAGTGAATCCCACCCACCCCCAGAACTGTGAAGGTTAAGGGATGAATAGGGTAAATAGTGAGAGTAATTCCACTGCTCAGTGAGTCAGGCAGGTTTTCCTAACCTCCCCTTAATTACTTTTCTGATTTCAAAGGAATTAAAGGGGAGGTTAGGAAAACATTTCTTAATAATACAAGTATAGACTTAATAGGCCATAAAGCCCGTTTCTGCATTATTTACAAAAACTCAACCTTGTAGCTTTAGACAAGAGGAAGTGATGCAGTGTTCTGGGTTTGGAGATAAAAAGAAAAAAAAACTGACCAACAACTGTATGAACTGCAAGACTCAGCTCACAGTGTAAACCGCGTTAAGCCGAGGTCCCATCTGCTTGTTTAGGGAGACGTTAAAGATCAGACCACCATTCGAAAAGAGAAGGGAGTTTTACCGGGTGTCTTGGCTGGCAATCTCCAATAAATTGGTCATGGGCGCTTACGGGATATTGCTGTGCACAAATTGGCTGCCGCGTTCGCCTACAAATGCAGTCACGTCACTCGATAGCAATAACCTGTAAAGCACTTTGAGACAATAGACACTGTATCAAATGAGGATTATGTTTTTTGCCTAGCATTTCACCCGGTGTCTTGGCCTACAATTATTATTAATACTAATAGTAATCTTTCATTTGATATAGCACTCATCATGTCACTGAGACTGAGCGCTTCAAAGAATATATTGTAAAGTGAATTGGCTGTATATTTTGAAATCATAGCTCAATGCCAATAGTACAAGGTAGATGGAATTAAAGGAAAATAA